AAGTAGATTTGCTCATCTGGGGATATCAATTTCTATTTTTAAAAATATGGGGAATGTTTGGAGAAAGCATGATGGAGGGACACGGGAAGGGAAAACGAAAGATGCATGCATTGTATTTCAGGAGAACGGGGATACTATGGTGTAAGGTTGATTTACTACTTTTGGTTATAGATAGGCATATTCTGTAATCTTTGCAAGGAATTTCCTTTGAATGTGATGGAATGCAAAGCCTGTAAAGTTCATATTCTCTCAATCCTTGGCTTTTAAGATATTTATTTAAAAAAACTACTACTAGTATTTGTTACATATTTTAGCACATATTTTCATGATTAAAAATATTTCTTGAATGCAAGAAGCACGCAATTATGTTTATTTCACTTTATTTTCCACCCAGTATAGTATTTTTTAAAATCTTTTTAATTGAAAGAATAGATCTCACATTTTTATTTCTGAAGTCCTGCAGCTCACCGATTTTATTTTGCTTCCTATAATTCCATGTGGTGAAACAGCTTGATTGGGCTGGGGACAGGAAGAATGTTTATGTTTATCATCAGTTGAGTAGTTTTTCAAGGAACAGCCATATAAAACCTTACATTTTCAAAAATGTAATTTTTATGGCTGCAGTGGCAGGCATCCATATGTGTTCTGCGGTCATAGTGATCTGCAGACACACAGCAGTACATCTCTATTAAAGGGCCATTTATTTGATAACACTAAGGACATTTACTGTCTTCAGCTAACTGTAAAAGTACGGAGGTGTTGAGGTGTGTCTTAATTATACCCTAACTGTGGATGGGGGTTTATTGTAGAAATAGCAGAAATATATGTTGTGTATTGAGTAAAGCCTCCTTGTGGCATCTTCTGTGCTGAAAGTCTGTGAGTTTTGTAGGTGTGGTTCTCATACACCCTCAAGTACAAATCCAGACCCCCTATTTTCCAGCAATATACTTAAGGCAAAGGCCAATTCATGCCCTCTCAGAAAGTGTGGACAGAGGAAATGGAACTCAGAGTATCCTTTCATTCTACACTAATATGTGAGATGCTAATTTTGAGTCTCATACATACGGTACTGAATTTCTGAAGGAAGCCAGTGGAGAAAGGCTGGTGTAAGTCTGAATCTGTACCTTGAATGCTACCTTGTGGTTAACCCAGATAAACTCATTTGCAGTCTTCTCACCTTGACCTTTAAGGCAGAAAGAAGAATATCCCTTTTTTAAAGTCTCAGATCTCAAAAGTGACCAAACATGAACCCTTCTATAATTTACTTACCATAACATTGGTTTTGGTTAGTTGATTAATAGAAGTATTCAAATGCGATAAAATGTATGGAGGGTTGCTAGCTTTGCAGTGATATTACACCTTTTCATTTTAATCTTACCTTATTTTACTGAATGTACACTTGAAGTTGCTAACTACACTTGCACCATTAATTGGTTTAAGTAGTTTCTTTCTCCTCCTGCTTTCTACAAATTTGTTTTGAAAAAGCAATGGTTGTTGAGAAAAGCAAGCAGTTTATTAAGTTTATTAAGGCTTGTAAAGTGGCTTTTACTGAGAATATGGTTGTCACACAGCTTACTGTGGTTTCTCAGTGTAGAGACTAAAAGGTACCATGCCTTGTTTAAACTGTAACTCATTTCCACAAGATATGAGTGCAGAGTTGTGTTTGCAGCCCCTGCCCCTGCAATGCAATACTACACAAATCAGACCAAGTTTATTTTCTTTAAATGCTTTATCCAGCATGCACACCCCTCTCACCGTTGGGTGGATATTTGAATTAGCTTTAGCAAAGATTACATGGATAAACACAGCATTGTCACTGTTAATAGAAACCTGTGCAGTGAGGTCTGAGGGCTGCAAGATCAGTAACAGGGCCCATGACAGTGAAATATGGCCTTATCGAAAGGAGAATTCATAAGAGGCTGCCCTGGGATACTCCACCACTGTCCTTCTGTGTATCCTGACAATGTTATCTGTCCTCTCAGTGCCGAGTATCAAATGTCTATCATGGGTATAGAAATTAATTTAATGTCACCTGAAGACATGCAATTAATCTTTTAGAGGTTTTCATAATACCTTTACAGAAAGAGTTGCCAGTTTGGAGGATTTGGATTTTGGGGTTTAGTTGAAGATAAGGAAAATTAATTTTTCATCAGGGTTAATACAAGCTAGCAGGGCTACAAAGGCTGAGAGAGATGGTTAGGGAATTTGTCAAGTGTTGTCACTTGGAATAATGGTGCTTAACGTCTGATAGGTGTAATCAAGAGTTGAGATTTCTATAGAAGGGGATTAATCAATTTGCTCACTACAGAATGCATGTTAGTGATACCGTTCATTTGCGCAGTTTTTAAGAATTAAAATAAGATTTGATCTGTCAAATGGCAAGAAGCTGTGACAGTATCAGTGGGACAGTATTTTATCAGGACATCCTCAAAGCATTTGTTATAAATAAAATTGTCCAGCTAATATTGGTAACCAACAGACTTCATCTTCATTGTGAAACTGTCAAGGTATCCATGATAAAAGTACAGCTTACAAAATTCTGGTGCTCCTTCATTGCTCTTATTTATTAAAGTCCTTCCTAATAAAACATGATCACAGCTTTCATTTCTAAAAATAAATAATGGAATTGGAAACTTCTGAATCTTACTCATTAATTTCTTGCTTTTTCAACCCAAATAAATTAATTAAGATGACTTGGAAGGAAACAAATAATGATCTTAGTTTTTATACTGTGTAGTAGGGTGTTAGTCTATAGGTCTCTTGTACATGACATATAATAACCATAATGGAGCGAAAGTATGCCATTTCTTGAATTTTCATTTTTTTAAACACTCCAGATTTGCAGGGTCTTTTATTTGCAGATCAGCAGTTCAAGATATGCTGTGACAAGGGCTCTTCCTGTTGAGCTCCTGTTGAGCTTCTGATAGATCAGCTTTTTCACACACATAATCCTGCTCTTGGCTTGTCATTCAAAAATAATGCAAATAGGAGCTTCTGAAGGGGAATTTGAAAATGTTGCTTTTAGTCCAAAGTAGGAATAGCGTGTTTATGTGTGTATGTATGAATGTTTGTGCATATGTGTGTGTGTGTAGGTTTGTTTAGGATTTACCAACAGGAACATGTTACATTTCTCTACTGCCCTATAAATGAAGTCTTTAAAGTTCTATGGAACATAACCATTGTAGGGAGATTTCACTGTGGGTATTTCAATTCAAATATTTTGAGATGTAGAATAAAAGATTAGAGAGGGAAACTTCTTAGGATATGTTTAGTTCGTATTTTCAGTGTATCATGTAAATTTAAAACACACAGGTCTTTGAAATGTCTGTAGCCTTTCTTGAATTGTATTGGTTTTAATTAATACTCAGAGTTTGGGATGGAATATTTAATTCATGAATAACAGAATGACATGTCCTCAAGAGGTTTCTTAAGGAAAGAAACCTCTTGAGGAAACCAAGAGAACCATGGTTTGATATTATTTTCTTTGAATAATCTAGTACCATAGTTAGAAAAGGTCTGTATGCTGCATAAAGACAGCCTGGCTGAATCAGACCTAAATCCTAACTCAACTTAATCCAGCATTCTTGCATTTTCATTAGGGATGTGCAAAACATTCTGTGCATGGATCAGCAAGTATTGGATGGTCCATATCCAGACTGAAGTATGCATATCTCATCTGGGCACAGATCTCGAATACATGTGTGCCAGTAAAAATGTTCTAGATGAGAGGCAATGGCTAAAACGGAGGGCTAAGGCAAGGTAAGACTCTGGGAAGATCAGGGAGAAGGACATGTGGACCAGGTAGAAATGAAGATGGGAAGGAGGTGAGCATTGGCTAAAAAAAAAAAAAAGGAAAATTGAGGGCCTTGGTAGGTATACCTTGCTTGAATTCAAGTGCAGTGGGGAAAGGAAGATGCTGGAAAGATTGGTAGGCAGGCTGGTACAGAGGTCATGCAGAAGTGGAGAGGAGAGAGGAACAAGTTTATCAACTTTGCTCTAGTTCCTCTGTTAGAAGAATAGGCAAACTAGGGCAATATAATCCATAAGCTATCTGGGTTTTGGTTTGGCAGACTTTGACTTCCAGGAAAGGTCTGGATGAACTTTTAAGCCAGAATATGTTTGATTCATGCTTGAAGCAAAACATATTTTCCATTTTGTGTATACATGTAATCCCCAGGTTAAGAACGCCCAGGTTACAGACAACCCATAGTTAAGAACGGAGCCTATTGTAGCAAAATTTGAGTTAAATACACAATGGTTTGTGTTAATTACACAATACTACTTATACAATACTATACAATGATACTGTTCCA